GGGGGCGATGCGGGGGCGGGGTTGCGGGGCCGGTGGCGGGCCTGCGGGGTTAGGCGGCGGGGTACCCGGGGCTGGGGTCGTCCGGCGGTGGCGGGGTTGGATGGCCCCCGCGGCGGGGGTCCGGGGTCCCCAGCCTCACACCGGCTTTGCCCCCGGGGATCCCCGCTCGACAACGCTGATATACACACACGTATATATATATATATATAGGTACTCTACTCTCTCTCTATATATATAAGGTCGAATCAATTCGCAGTTATGTTAAATATATATGTATATATATATGTACAGGCACTCCTCCGTGCCACTTCTATACGGCCGAATTAATCCGCAGTTTCTGTTCTTCTGTGTCGCTTCCATAAGGCCGAGTTAGTTCTCACTTTGCGACCCACAGTGGGGTTTCAGGAGCTGACAGCCTTAAGAAATACTGTTAACGGGTGCATATACTTTCAGGTCTCCTTTCCATGAAGTTCAACCACTTTAGGTTACTATACCACTTTCACATTCTGTGTGGATCTATACATGGGTTTGTCTGAAACCGCCTTCAGGCAGTTCAGCCACTTCAGGTTGATACACCAGTTTCAAATTGCCAACAGATCCATTGCAAATGGTGGGATGGGGGTACCTGAAACCCCTTTCAGAAGCTTCAGCCATTTCAGCGGTTTCAGGTCCCCAACTGAAATTCCTGAAATGACCTGAAGTGGCTGAAGCTTCTGAAAGGGGTTTCAGGTATCCCCATCCAACCATTTGGATGGGAATACCTGAGACCCCTTTCAGAAGCTTCAACCACTTCAACGGTTTCAGGTCACCACGTGAAATTCCTTAAATGACCTGAAGTGGTTGAGGCTTCTGAAAGAGGTTTCACGTACCCCCATTCAAATGGTTGGATGGGGGTACCTGGAACCTCTTTCAGAAGCTTCAGCCACTTCAGGTCATTTAAAGGCCCCCACCTGAAATTCCTGAAATGAGTTGAAGTGGCCGAAGCTTCTGAAAGGGGTTTCAGGTACCCCCATCCAAATGGTTGGATGAGGGTACCTGAAACCCCTTCAGAAGCTTCAGCCACTTCAGCGGTTTTAGGTCCCCACCTGAAATTCCTGAAATGACCTGAAGTGGCTGTAGTTTCTGAAAGGGGTTTCAGGTACCCCCATCAAAATGGTTGGATGGGGGCACCTGAAACCCCGTTCAGAAGCTTCAACCACTTCAGCGGTTTCAGGTCCCCACCTGAAATTCTTGAAATGACCTGAAGTGGCTGAAGCTTCTGAAAGGGTTTTCAGGTACCTCCATCCAACCATTTGTATAGGGGTACCTGAAACCCCATTTAGAAGCTTCAGCCATTTCAGAGGTTTCAAGTCCCCACTTGAAATTTCTGACATGACCTGAAGTGGTTGAAAAAACAGGCGGGAAAAAAAAAAACAAACATAAAACTTGTCTTGCAAACCACCCGAAACTTCTGAATGACCTGAAGTGTCTTCAGACCATTTCAACGGTTTCAGACCACTTCACAATCTTTCATTTTGAAATTTCAGGTGGTCGTTAACTGCGAGTGGCCCCTCGTATCAAGAAGTCTGAGTTAGTTCGCACTTTGTGGACAGCTAGTGGGACATGTTTCAGGTCTTCGTTTCCAAGATTCTGGAGTAGATGCCTTGTTCCTGAATGTAGGCTCTTCATTTCCTGAAGACAAAACGCCTCTTTCCCGAAAGTAAGCTCGTTCCTGAAAGTAGGCTCTTCATTTCCAGAACTGCGAGTTGTTGCCTTTCGTTTTCAGAACTCTGAGTAAGTGCACACTTTTCGACACGCGTGTTGCACGTGTTTCATGTCTTCATTTAGACAACTCCGAGTTAGTTCGCACTTTCTTTAAGATAAGCCGCATCTTTCTTGAACGCGGGTTCCTCGTTTCTGGAACTGCGAGTTGAAAATGTTGTTTTTTCTCCATAATTGCGAGTTAGTTCGCACTTGTCGGTAACCATGTGGTAAGTGTTGTAGAGGTCTTCATTTCCACAACTCCGAGTTAGTTCGCACTTTCACCAACATAAACCGCCTCTTTCTTCATCTCCAGGATTGCGAGTTGTTTCACTTCGCCATAGTAGTATTGTCTTCGTTCCCACAAGTTGGACTCCGAGTTAGTTCGCACTTTGCAGTCGATACATTTAGGAAAACCTTATCGCTTTCTCCTGGTCATCTGGTTTGCCCGCGGGGAGGGACGACCTCTTCAGCAATCTAGTCCTCAGTATTTCCATGTGAGGGATGCACAATGGTTTTTAGACTTCGTTGTTGATGGGAACCTTGTTGGGCCAGCTGTTTTTATGCGGCACGCTGCCTTTCCGGATGCTAAGCGAGCAGACCACGTCCCTCCTGTCAGTACCATCCTTTTTCATCCCAAAAACAGTCCGGAGGCTTCCTCAAGCTGCAGACTAACATCTTCTACGACCAGTGCAGATTGCCTTTGAAAGGTGTTAAGGGTGTGATAGTGTCCATCAAGAATTTCACGAGGTACGGCTCGAACATGCTACGCTGCCGTCACTTCAAAGGGCTTTACAATGGCAAAAGCAGGCCTCTTCCACCGCCAATGGAATATCTCGATCTTGCGTTGAAGGTGGCGAAAGAGCGTCTGATTCTTCCTCGACATTATGTTTTCCCACTTCTGCCAGGCCATGAGGGGTCGTCCAGCTTGGCTCAAGAAACCCCTGTGACGACAGTGGGGCACGGGAGTGTGACTCACGGCACTGACGGTTAGGGCGTGGGGTACGCACGCAGTATTCAGACGCAAGTCGGCCCGGATGCTCCTGGGACTACGTCTGGCTTGCAATCTCCAGATGCAAGGGCTCACCGGGTCGGTACTCCAAAAATCCTCAAGTTCGTCTACGAGGGTGACAAGTATTCGCTTCGAGATGAGGCGAGAGGAGAATCCAACAGTTCAGGTCAAGAGGTTGAAGGGATGGCCGCTGTGCGCGACAGCTCTGGCGGGAAGCCGACTTCTTCGGAGAAGAAGCGTAAGCGATAGAAGACTATGCGAGAAGAGGTGGCGGAATAGATCCGACGCATGAATAGGATAAAAGGATACTCGGAGCCGATGATTGGCGGGGACGAAGGTGACGCCGGAGAACGTGCCTCAGGAAAGAGGACGCCAGGGATGCCTGGCGGACAAGAACAAGGAGTCAGAAAGAGGCAGTCGAAGCAAGTGGGTGCGACAACAAGTAAGAAAGCAAAGAGGCCCGGCGGTTTGACCATCCGCGAAGGACAAGATATGAGTGAAGGAGATTCCGCTCGTCTAGGCATTGCGGCCACGAGAGAACCTTCAGAGAAATCTAAAAGGAAACTGGCAGCTGAAGAAGACGATGGCGAGAAGAAACCTCGGAGGAGGAAGATTGCTGAGGGGACGAGATGTGGCGAAAGGGCGGTCGGTAGGCAGTACGACGAAGCGGCAACGTTTTGGCTCGAATACGAGCGGAACGATGACGGTGAGATCGTGGAGAAGGAGCTCCCCATTCAACTCCTCATCGACCCCAGGAGGGTCTGCGACATCCCGCCTTGGGAAAGATATTACAATCACCGCAGTTTTACTCGGTATGGTGTGGATGACATGAAGGGTGCGATGCTAAGGCAGTTCCACGAGGAAAAGAGAAAGATCTCGACGAAAAACCCTTTAGTTTTGACACCCATCTACAAGCCGGTGACGCATAAGCCGGAGAGAGCTGAGAGGGTTTACAAGGATGTCTTCAAGCCAGAGGACAAGGACAAGTACTTCTATTACCCTGTCAATGGACAACACACCGTGGCTGCTGTGGAGTTGGCCGGTGAGGCGATATTCGAATTGTGGAAGATGCACTCGTGGCCAGCGAGAGTCGTGTGGTTCTCCGACGAAGACTTTAGGGGGTATTTGCAGGTCAGTCTGACAGAGAACATAAGATACAAGATGTCTAAGCAGCGTGCGCAGAAGGCCGCTTTCGAGGACATGAGGGCGGCATGGAAAAATCAAGGAAGGTCGGGAACCCTTCCGGCAAGGAGGCCGAAAAACAAACATTTTTCGAATTCCAAAAGCTGCTTTTCGGAAAGAGTCCGAACGGCGCTCACTGGACGATGGCACGTAAAGCGACAACGCTCGCCGACAAGGAGCGCGTCGCTGCCATTGGCAATGCATTGAGGCAATGGATGCCACTCGTGACGGTCGGTGATGAGGTTTCCGGAAAGGCATGAAGTTCTACGACAAATTGGCCGAGGGAAAGTTGTTGCGCGAGGACGGGAAGACGCCCTTGTCGAAGCCGGGCAAATACATGCCAGACAAATCTCCGGGTCTTCAAGCGATTCCGGAAATGGGCGTGAAAGAGGCGGCTGGTGAAACAAAGATGGGGTGGCTGGTCCGGGTCCCGCCACCTCCGACCAAAAAGAAAACGCAATCGAACGACAAGTTTTTCGTCGTCGTGAAAGAGCCAGACATGTTTTGTTTGCAGTCTCTCGATGACATGACCGATGCCAAAAAATCGTCGATCCTCGAAGACATTCTCGCGCTGAGGGGACTGTTCGTGCAATCGGCAAGCGGGCACTTGAAACGTCAACATAAGCCTGGAATTAAAGATATGGTCGCGACGAGGAAAGTGGACCGCATGATGCTCCGCATGTTTCACTACATCTTGTTCCTTGAATCTGAGGAGGACGCAAAGGTTTCGCGGTATGGGAGCCAGTTGTTTCGGACCGAGGAGCAGCTTCTGGCGGAGTTCGCGTCACGGGGCCTCACGAAACAGGTGTGGGTCGAACTGCGGAAGCATTTCCACGGCGCGGTGGAGTACGTGAACACTTGCAAACGTTGTCTTTCGTACGAGAAGAAGTCCCTCGATGAAACGAAGAAAATGTACGATGATGAGAGGTTCCCTAAATCTTTCGAGAAATCCGTCCGCTCCATCTTGCGACGAACGGAGGAAGAAGTGCAAGACACGATCAGGGTCAGCGGGGCTGTGAGACACATCATATGACACAAGATCAACCGGGTGACCAGCCTTATTCCTTTCAGTTGTCCAGCTTCCCAATCTCACACTCGTCTCATTGAAATCCGCGAGATTGTGTGACATTACGTGTGCAACTTGTACGTCCTCGATTTGTGTGATCCCACACTCCTCTCAGATTGACAAGAAAACGATTTCGCCTCCTTGCAAGGCGTTCTCCAAACCCTTTCGCCAAGGCACTGGGCACTTGTCGTCTTCTTCCCCTCTCGTTGGGAGCTCAATTTCTTGAAAGGCATAACCAAGCTTAGTGTTCATCACGTTAGGACAGGGAAGTGGGTGTGCCATGCACAAAGGAAGGTCACTGTTCGGGAAGGCAATATGCTCGTCGAGGAGTATGATCGTTTGTACGTGATTTTCAATGGCGAGAACCTGGCAGACAACACGGTCACAGTCTTCCCGGCCAGTAGCCCATCGAAGTCTCCCCGTGCTAATGCTCCAAGTCCGGCTTAACCCGCGGTGGCAAGAAAACGATTTCGCCTCCTTGCAAGGCGTTCTCCAAACCCTTTCGCCAAGGCACTGGGCACTTGTCGTCTTCTTCCCCTCTCGTTGGTAGCTCAATTTCTTGAAAGGCATAACCAAGCTTAGTGTTCATCACGTTAGGACAGGGAAGTGGGTGCGCCATGCACAAAGGAAGGTCACTGTTCGGGAAGGCAATATGCTCGTCGAGGAGTATGATCGTTTGTACGTGGTTTTCAATGGCGAGAACCTGGCAGACAACACGGTCACTGTTTCGACGTGGAAAACGAGGACAAGTTCCCTCATAGCCAATGGGAGGACGACGGTGTGACAAGTGTTCGAGGAGCTACTTATGGGGACAGGGAGCGCAACGCAACTCATTTAATTGGTCTGCTAGATAACTTTTGCAGAGTTGGGCAAACTTTCTTTTTTGTTCGAAACGTGCACGCGTCTGTCGTGTGGGAGCTCCTCCGCAGCGATCGGAACGTCGTTGCATTAGAGGACGAGGCGAAGATGATCGACTACCTTTGCGAGTTCGTTAAGACACGCATGGGGGACCCTCGCCACCATTGCTCTTTTGTCCATACCACCAGCAAACAGAACTGGGATCCCAAACGCGATATGTATTGGAAATTGCAGGAGAAGAAAATGATGGAGGTTTGGGAGTTCCTTTTCCAGCCGGGACTGCCTGCTCATACCGACCTGGAATACAACCGACAGAGGAACCTGGTCTTCGGTGTGCTGAATGGTTACCACGATGCACCCAAGGATTCTGTCTCAAATTTCCTGAAAAGGATGGAACACGTTTTCTTCTTGATGGCCGAACCGCTGACCCTCAAAAACTACACGACGCAGTTCGACAAGGAGGACCCTTTCGGCGTTGAGGACATGAGGAGATGAGCGACTCTGAAACCTTCGATTTTGATTCCATGCCACTTCCTCGGGTGGTTGCACAGGTTGATGATGAAGGGGAAGATGTTCCTCGGAGATATAGCACGTCCCTTGCCAGTTTGAAGCGTGTGTTTGAGCGCGAAACAGTCGAGGTCCAATCGTCTGATGATGGGGAAGAAAAGAGAGACTATGATTACGAACCTGGTGACAAGCTCCCTAGGGACCATGATACATGCGAGAATGACATGCTTTTCTTCTACGCGAATCATCACCGGTTCACGCCGGAGGATGTCTGGGGCCACAACGTCGTCTGGCACCCCAGGAAATTCCAACCTGTTGTAAAGACTGGAAAGTGGGTCATGGCAATAAAGGAAGCTGATGGCAAGTGGAGTGGCATGAACAGACCGGGAGCGGGTCCATTTAAGAAAAAGGCGAGAGAAGCTCTCGTGGAACTTGAGTGTTATGAATCCGGACAGGATCCTGCCCGACATCAATGCGTATGCAGGTCAAAAGCTCGATGGGGTGTACGCCAACAAAATGTTGGAGTTTCGAGTGTCTTTTTACGCACTCAAAACGGCACTGTCTCGTTGCATTGACTGGCGAATACTGCAACCTCTGTCTGGTGGTCAACATCCGGGAGGCGGTGGGCAAGGTGATGGAGGAGACGGTGCAGGACCCGGTGGAGGACATGACGGAGGAAATGGCTCAGGATCTGGTGGTGACGAACCAAAGGGGAAGGGGTCAGGCGAAACGTCATCGGAACCAAAGGGCTTCGGCGGAAAACGGTCCGGTGAAAAGGGTCAGGCGGAAAGGTGTTAGGCGGAAAGGGGCCGGGCGGAAAGCGTAGAGCGTTTGGGAGTCACGAGTCTAGCGGAACTGAAAGTCGCTGCGAAGGGAGTCGATAGTTGGACATGCGAGACGAGGCGGTCCTGAGGTCTTATCAAGTGCGAGTACATTCGCACTTGTCTGCGAGGACTTTGTTTCATGACGCCGGCGAGCGCAAAGTGTTGGAGGGGCCCGCTGCAGGAGTGTTGGATACCAGGCCTAGCAAGTATAAACGTAATGCTTCGGAGGGTGCTTCCATAGATTTTCAGAGCAAGAGTGCAGCGGATCCGGGGGAAGAGGAGCTGTCACAGGACGCGCATGCCGTGCACCGGGAAGAGGAGACTCAGCACTGGCCGCCTCGCAGAGTGTTGGATGGTCTCGACGCAGGAGTGTTGGAGTTCGGGGCTAGCTGATATCTACGTCAGCCTTCGGAGGGTGCGTTCGTCAACTTAGAAAGCAAGAGCACACCACCTCCGGGGGACGGGGAGCTCTCACAGGAAGTGCATGTTGTGCAGCGGGAAGAGGAAACTCAACATTGGCCGCCTCACGAAGTGCTCACGAAGTGAGGGAAGGGCTCGATGCAGGAGTGTTTGAGACCGGTGCTCTCGAGCATTAGTGTCATGCTTCGGAGGACGCGTCCGTCGATGTTGAGAGGAGGAATGCAACAGCTTTGGGGGTAGAGGACCTCTCACAGGAAGCGCATGTTGTGCAGCGGGATGTCGGGTCGGGCGGAGGTGAAAGCCATTGCGAAGGGAGTCGAGATTCCAACACGCAGTCCTGGGTCTTATCAAGTGCGAATAGATTCACACTTGTCTACGACGACTTTGTTTCATGACGTTGAGGACAGTCCTCGCCGCAGTACGCAGCACACGTGTCCTGTTCAGGACGACACCTTGCTCGTGCACCTCTTGGAAGAGGGTGAATGTTTACAGTGTGCGGCGACATCTGTTCAGGGGCCCTCTGTAGGAGTGTTGGAGACAGAGCCTAGCGAGTGCGAAGGTCATGCTTTGGAGTTGACGCATGCTGTGCAGCGGGATGATGAGCTTCTCCAAGGCTCGTCGGAAAATGCCATCAACATCGGGGACACGGATTTGGTTTTGCACAGCGGGTCGCCACTGACGACGCAAGAGCGTGACGGTAAGGGAGGTTATGGGACGTTTGTGGAAGGCAAAAACCGTGGGCGGGAAGGACTTCCATGTACGTTTTGGGAAGGTCGGCTTTGTGGCGATGGGGAGGACAAAGAAGAACGCGTGTTGGAAACTCAGCTTAATGACGATGAGGAAGGCGAAGGAGCCGTGGGGGTAGCTCAACTTTTTGGCGGTGACGTGTCGGCTCTGCTTCATGACGGTGAGGCAGGCGAAGCTCAGCTTTATGCCGGTGAGGTGTCAGGTCGGCTTCATGTCAGTGAGGTGTTGGCTCGTCATATAGGTTCGAAGCAGACAGATCATGATTCTACGTCCACCAACTGCGGTGAAGAGCAAGGCGATCGAGCCCCTGCCCTCAGTTCCGGTCGGGAAATGGTGCTTCATGAAGCCACAGAGTTGGTAAGCGACACGGCTGCCATCGAGATGGTTAGCGACTCAGCGGTGGTCGAGATGCAGAACATCGAATCCTCCACGGACGTCAGCACAGTGGCGTGACAGGAGGCCAGTTCCCCTCGAAGGGCTCCCGAGCACGGTAAGATTTGTGAACAGTAGCACTCGCGCGTCTGTCGATGTTCAGCTCTGTGGTCGTCCACATTGAATTCATGGGCTCATGTCGCTATTACCACTTCTTAAACATAAGCTTGTGGGTTGTGGGTTGTTTTCCATGTTCTACAGGTGTGAGGTTGTCAATGTCCCTGCCCATGAAGCCTTCGCAAACCATGATCGGAAAATCGTTTTCAAGGAGGTCATTGACCGCTTTACCGAAGAAGTCCTCGTCAACTGTAGGGTTGTTTAAAAGGGTCCAGCTGCCTCGCCTTTCCGGGAGAGATGTCAGGGTTCTGAAGGCTTGTGGAATAGATAAGGAGGAAGCTTTGAGGAAACATGTGGCTGCGTCTATCGAAAGCGTTACTCCTTTGTCTGCGGGTCTGATGACGACGCCAGACGGGGTGCCGACCCGTGTCCTAAGTACATCGTCAAAGACACATTCAACAGTCGGGGTTACAAATTTTCTAGAAAAAGGGCACACAGTTCTTGACCTGTTTACCCGGTGGTTTTGGCGGTTCCTCACACTTGTTCTTGGGTGTTTGTGGAGCAACGGTGACATCATCTTTTCGCGTGTTGTTGCCTACCGAGGAGCTTAGCCGTGCGGACTTGAGAATGTTGCAGGAGGTCTGCAGAGATTTCAGCAACGGCCACGAGGTGGTTTACTCGATTCGCAAAAGGACCAGTTCTATTGTGTTGAGCAGAAAAAATCTTCAGACTCTTGTTCAAAGGGGGTGGCTTTGCGACGAGGTGGTGGAGTCCTACTTGGCCTTGGTTGGCAATGCAACGTTGTCGGGGTGTCCCTCTGTTTATATATGCAGTCCGTTTTTCTATACGAAACTCGTCGATGAGGGATGTCGACATGACAGGGTTGCGAGATGGACAAAAGATGTCAATATTTTTTCAGACGATATGCTGATCATTCCTGTTCATAAAAATCGAGTGCACTGGACCCTATTATGCAATCGCGAAGGAGGGCTGGAGTACTACGACTCCCTCCTACAAGACGATGACGGATTTTTTTCCCATGTGCTTGCGAACTTCACGAAATACCTCTGTGACGCAGCAGTTCATCAATTTGGTCGACACACGAAACCGGATCTGCCGAAGCCCAAGGTGGTTGTTCACGGTGTCCCTCAACAGTCGGACGGGTCAAGCTGCGATGTTTTCATGCTCGCCTTCACTTCCTTTCTGGCACGGGGTTATTCACCTCCATTTCCGATATGCCAAAGCAACATTCCGAGCATCAGGCTGAGGATGGCAGTGGACATAATCCAAGGCTAAGAATAATATCCCTGTTTTGAAAATACGCAACGTTTTTTATTCGCAAGGTCATAAACAAAAGTGTGAATCTATTCCCACTTAGTCTAGCAGTCAAGCAACTCGAGCTGTGGTGTTGTTTTGATGAGGTAGAGGATGGAAGTGGACGCGTCTAGCAAGTGCGCGCTTAGATGCCGATGTCAATATCCCAGCCTCGTACTGCTGTATTTTTTTAGGGTTCTTCATCTCGATGAACCTGACAACTTTACACGTGGGACTTTCTTTCACTTTCTTGGTTTTCTAGTTTTCCCGATGCAAATGGCGTAGCCTCGTGCAGCCCGTTTTTTAGGACCCCGCCAGCGTCGTGCTGCCTTCGTTTCTTTTTAGGTTATTCTCATTCCTTGCCGCCCAACATTAGCTACAGGGCTGCAGCGGACGCTTAGGTGAAGTAGACGCTTGGATGTCGATGTGAATATCACAGCCACGTGGTGCACTTTCTTTTAAGTAGACGCTTAGATATCGGGTGTGAATATCCCACCTTCGCGCTGCCTTTGTTTGTTTTCGGGTTGTTCTCCTTATTTCCTGTACGACCACGCCAGCGTCGTGCTGCCTTTATTCGTTTCCAGGTTGTGCTCCTATGTTACTCATGGGAAATCCTTGTCTTTTTGTGGACATTCTTTGCACTCATGCTTGTAGGACTAGATACTCTGGTTCATTTAGAAGATGTTGGTGAAAGACCTCTGTGATTTCTTCTTGGTCGCCAAATTGTTTCGTGCATATCTCGCAGTTCATTTTGCAAGATGTTGGTGAAAAGTATCAATGATTACTTCTTGGTCGCCAAATTGTCTCATGCTTGTCTCTTTCTTGCACGAGACTATACGGTCTGAAAGACACCCCTCTTCCCCCCACCCCCACCCCCCCTCTCCTCGTACCGCCCCATTTTTTCGGTTCACCCCTTCTTATGTGCCCTCCTCCCCGCAATCACCCTTCTTCTTCTCTCTAGTGAATGCTGACTGTTGCTTCCATATAATTCGGAAATCAATTGTCGCCAGAATGTCTGCGTGCTTGACGTCATTTTATGGACTCCACAAAATTTGGCCGTGCAGTAAATGATCACCGATTTTGTTATCGCCAGAATACATGCCGTGGTCTCCACTGAATGCAGATTGTTGTTTCCGTATGACAAATGCGAATATATTCGCAATTTAGAAGCCATACATTTGTGATAAGACCGTTCATATCTACAAATTTTCCAGAATGATTACCTTTTGTGTTGTCACCAAATTTTTTTCACAGCTGCAAGTTCACCACAAATGATCATCAACTATGTTGAAGCCCGAACGTATGTGTGCTTGACCCCTGTGCTTCGACGTTGTTGTCGTTTAAGGATCGATATGTGGTATTTGCCAAAATGGATGGTTGCCCAAAATTGTTACCTTCAATGTTGTCACCGGAAGACTGATCATTTATGCAAGTTGGAAAAAAATGATATTTTGCCGAAATGATTGCCTTTTGTCTTGTCGAAAAAAATGGTTAAATCGTGAAAAAGATTGTCCTTTGCGTCATGTCTTGCCAATAGTGAAATTGGCTCCTCCATCTTTGCGGGCATTCATTTCTACCCCGCTTAAACCACCGCTCCCTCCGACGTCAACAAAACGGTTGCACAGGTTCATTAGGGCTGCCCGTAGTACGGGCTGGAGAACCGCCAGTAGGTCTGAATGATTTTCAATTAAAAAAAACAAATCACTGAAAAGATCACGAGCAAATCTACTGACCCTCCAATTTCGGGGTATGTGACGCATTCTGCGGAGCGTGAAAAACCGCTCAAGTTGTTGAACTTTCCCTGTTGGCCCGCAAATGGCGTTGTGGCAGAACTCGAACGTGCCCCAAGTCGGCGCGATGGTTATTTGGAGATCAAAAATATTTTTTTACACAATTTTGATATTTTCTCTGAAAGAACCAAGAGCAAATATACGAACCCCCAAATTTTCAGAATTTTCAGTGAATTCTTCTAAGTGTGAAAAATCGCCAAAGTTGCAATTGTTAAATTGCGAGAGTGGGCCCGCCGTTTCGACCTCTGGTCGCCGCCCTCCCTAAGAACCCGCCGGAACTCACCGGGGTGGGGCTATTTCCTACTGTCGGAGAGAGTGGTGGTTTAAAGCGCCTCCTTACCTTTTTCGTCGATGCACTGCAGGACAACATGTGCGAATTGATTTGTAGTTCAATATTTGTTCCTCTACCTTTCCTCGAGGGAAGTTTTTACTGGCTTACGACGCCTTCTCACGTCTTTAGACTTCCGCTTTTGGCCTTTTGTGATTTCCGCTAAAAGGGGTGCACGAAGGCTTGACGTATCACTAAACGGAGTGCACAACGACTTGACGTGTCGCTACAAGGGTTGCAAAAACATTTGATGTGCACTCGTCGTCGTCGTTTTTGTGATTCCCGATGCCCATTCCTTTTCACTAAAAGAGGTCGACACCGGGTCTGCCATGGGTGCCCGAGCACGAAATGCAGTTCGAATCTAATACAATGCGGAAATGGCCGTTAACAACGAATAATAATTGTTGGCACCTGTGGTGTTAGTTTTCACTCGTCTTTATGTTACGTCTGATGCTGGACCTTTAAAATGTGTGATGCATAACCTCTAGGCTTTCATTTTATTTCTCGCTCGACTGTCGTAATGACGGATAAATATGCACAAGAATTGTAATGATTTATATCTGTTACAGTGGGAACTGTACAATGGCAATGTCCTTATGTGAGGAATGCTTTCGAGTTTAAAAATGGGTACTCCAACTTTGCTGGCAACCTCTCCCACAAATGGCATGGTAGCATAACTCGAACGTGCACCGAATCGGCACGGCGGTTGTTTGGAGGTTGAAATTATTTTTTTTAAATGTTCTTAATATTTTTCCTGGAAGGACCACGAGCAAATCTACGAACCCTCGAATTTTTAGAACTTTTGTGGATTCTTCATAGCGAGAAAAATCGGCAAAGTTGTCGATATCAAATTGCGAGACTAGACCCACCGTTTCGGCCTTCGGTCGCCGCCCTCCCTAAGAACCCGCCCTAACTCATTGACTTACCGTGAGGGCACGGGTGCGCAACCCGAAGTTTTTATATGCTTGATTGATAAACACAGAGAGAGAGAGAGAGAGAGAGAGAGAGAGAGAGAGAGAGAGAGAGAGAGAGAAAGAGAGAGAGAGAGAGAGAGAGAGAGAGAGAGAGAGA